AGAGGAAGAAAGGGGAAATATTAAGCTAGGAGAAAAGGGAGAAAGTGGAAGGTGAGAGCAATGGAGAAGTGGGTTAGAGAAGGGGAGAAGAAGGAGCTGGGTAAACAAAGACAAGGTGAGAAGGGAGAAAGAAGAGATAGGCAGGGTTCAGGTGCAGGGGGGAAAGGAATGGGAGAAGAATGAAGATAGGAGAGGGAAAGGAAGAGGAGAAAATGGGGCATACAAAGAGAGGATGAGGGAGGGAAAGAATAGGGAAGAGAGGCAGGCAATGAGAGAGGAGGGCAAGGGAGAAGTGGGCTAGAATTGAAGGAGAGGGAAGAAGGAAGAAACAAGGGAAGAGAGGTGGAAGGAGAAGAGATAGAGAAAGAGTGATGGAAAAGAGAGTGGAAAGGAGAAAAAAGTGTGAAAGAATAAGAGAAAGCTTTGAACAGATTTTAAACTTAGGTCACCCTCCTAATTTATCAAATCCACTCTCTGGTCTGTTGGGGGAAATAACAATATGTATGAGAAGTTAAATTAACCTATAATTTTAGGCACAAGATAAAAGCTGGATCTGTGATTTCATTGGTATAGTGAACTCTGAGATAAAGAAAAACACTCTACCGATGTGAATTAATGCTAGAGAATTACCCAGGGAACTAAAGAGGTAAGGTTAGTCAGTCAGTCAATAAGTAGTTATTAAACACTCACTATGTGACAAGCACCATGCTTGTAGGATACTAAGTGCTGGGGGTACAAAAAAGAGGCAAAGGATAGCCCCAGCCCTCAAAAAGCTTACAATCTAATGTGATTGGCCCACAGTCCCACAGTATCTGTCATAGCTGGGCCCTGGACTTCCATCTTCCTGACTGTCAGACCAGATCTTCATCCCCATCTTCATCCATTAGGCTGCATTGACTCTATCAAAGAGGATTCTAGAACTGTAGAATTACATAGCTGAAAGGAGCTTTGGAGATTCTGCAGTGCTCCTCATCCTGAAATTTTATAAAGGCAACAGATGAAGCCCAGTGAGGAAATCTGCCCGAAGTCACAGAGTGAGGGAGAAAGGCAGAGCAGGGATTAGATCTTTTCTGCTAAATGACCTGGAAGCACTACAAAATTCAGTCTGGCTATGGCTACAGAAACCAAGTTAATTGAATTAGGTCAAAACAGAATCCCTTGGTTGCTGCCCAGGAAGGAGAAGGTTGTACCAGTCTTTGGCCAGACCCCAGGAGAAGATCAGAGGTCTTCAGTCACAGGTTAGAAGGCTGCTTGTTGAGAATAATCTAGACGGGCTTACTGTTCAGATATGGGGTAGACTAAATGCCCTACAAGGCTCCTTCTGATTCAGAGATCCTGTGATTCTAGTTGAAATGTTATCAAGTAATCTTGTGGTCTTCACCCCCTCCCCTTTCCTCCTCTTCCTCCTCTCTCTTCTCTCTCTGTGTGCCTCCATCTCTCTCCCTCTCCTCCCTCTCTCTGTCTCTGTCTCTCTTTCTCTGTCTCTTTTTTTCTTTCACCTCTCTCCATCTCTCCTCTCCTTTCTCTTCCCTTCTTTTTTATTCTCTCCATCTATTAACTGTCTACAAATGCCCAAATCTCTCCCATTCTTTCAGAATAAAAGACAATCCTCATTTGATCTAACTATCCCTTTAAGTTATCGTCCCACCTCTCGCCTTCATTTCATGGTCAAATTCCTGCCTTCGTTGCCTATCCTTTGTAACAGTCTTCTATTTAGTCTCCCTGCCTGAAGTCTCTACCCATTCCACTCTACTGCCAAAGTGATTTTCCTCAAGTACAGGTCCAATCTCATTATCCCTGTATTCCATAGACCCCAGTGACTCCCTGATATTGCCATACTTCAAGGCCCATAGGTTCACAACATTGGAATCATCCTTGATTCCTCCCTGCTTTTCACACCTCCATCAATTCATTCACCAAATTTTATCATTTCTATCTCTACAACATATTTCACATCAACCCCTTTCTCTCTGTTCACAGACCATCATGCTAGTTCAGACCATCATCACCTCTCATCTAGTCCATTGTTATAGTCTCGTAACTTGTCTTCCTCACTGCTCTCCCATCTCCAGTCCATCCTTCACAGAATTGACGCAGGGATTTTCCTAAAGTACAGATCTGACCATGTCACTCTCCTGCTCATTAAACTCCAATGACCCCTATTACTTCCACAATAAAATACAAACTCTCTGTGGCATTTACATCTCCTCATGACTTGTCTCTGGCCTGCTTTTCTACCCTTATTCAATATTATTCTCCTTCATGAACTTTTATATTCATCCAAACTGTCCATCTTACTGTACCTTATGTAAAACACTCCATCTCCTATCTGGGATGCAATCTCTTTTCATCTCTGACTTAGAATGCCTTCAAAGTTCAGCTTAAGTGCCATCTCCTACATGAGGCTGGACTTTTCTGATCCCTCAGCTGCTGGTGTTCCCCTGTACTCTCAAATTAATTTATATATGTTATATTTTTTTACATATACATGTAGAGATTGTCCCAAAAATCTTGGTGAAGTTTTAAGTTCTCAAAGCATAAAAAACTTTGGGATGCTCTGTGTATGTACATTGCTGCTCTTCAGTCATTTCAGTCATGTCCAACTCTTCATGACCTCATTGAGGGTTTTCTTGGCAAAGATACTGGAATGATTGGCCATTTTCTTTTCCTGCTCATTTGACAGATGAGGAAACTGAGGCAAACAGGGTTAAGTGACTTTCCATGGGTCACTCACTAGTAAGTGTCTAAAGCCAGATTTAAACTCAGGAAGATGAGTCTACCCCATACTCTCCTCACTGTACCACCTAGATGCCTATGTACATTGTATTTTCCCACACTGATTGTAAGCTCCTTGAGGTCGGGGACTATTGAGTTTTTGTCTTTGGATGTGCAGTGCCCAGCAGTGTGCCTGGTACATAAATACTTACTGAATGAATGACTCCAGTGAAGTGTGCCTCCAAAACAATGAGACTATTATCTTTGGCTTCCTCATAAACTAACTCTGAAGTCAGTCCCCAGAGAACTACCTAGAAATGGTTTGGAATATGATTAAATAGCAATTCATGAGAGAGTGAAAAAAAAAAACCTTGGGGATTTAGGGACTTCAGTTGACAATGTGATATGGCATCTAGAAAGCTCATGTGACCTTGAGCTGAATGAACAGAAGTCTCGTACCCAGAATGACAGAGGTGATAATCTTTTGTCTGCTGCCAGAAATCATGCATTCAGTTTAGAGCAGCATAATTTAAGGAGATTTTCTAATTAGAGGACATCCAGAGGAGTCAGCTGTCAATAAATATTAACAAAGCACCTACTATGTGCCAAGCACTCTGCTAAGGGCTAGGGATACAAAGAAAGGTAAAATATAATCCCTGCTCTCCAAGAGTTTACAATCTAATGGGGGTGGGTGGGAGGGTAACGTGCTAATTACTATGCAAACAAACCACAGACAGGTTAAATAGGAAGTAATCCCCACAGAAGACAGTGACAGCATGATATGGCACTAAAGGCCATGTCATCTGAGTATTGGTGGTATCTGCCAAACAGGACTTTTGATTCCTGGGCTCTATCCATTGGAGCATCCTCTTTCCCAAGAGATAAGTCCTGGGAATTGGTTGGGGGCACACACAAGTTGGACTTAGTCAGGGTCCCACAGTTAGTACGTTTTAGGGGTGGGATTGGAACCCAGTTCTTCCTGATTTCAAGCCCATTCTTTATCCACTACGAGGTGCTCATTACTTCTCGGGAGGCAAAAATCAACCTCCCTATAACTTCAACTCATTTCTCTTTATTCTGAAGCCAGAATAAAATCCAATGCCTTTTTTTCCATGAAACCCCTTCAAATATTTGAATACAACTACTATCACCATAATCATATGAGGACTAAAACGAGAGCTGTTTGGCCTGGAAGAGAGAAGATTTGTAGGGGGATGTGACAGCTACCTTCAAATATTTAGGTGGTATCATATGGGAGAAGTATTATGCTTGCTCTGTTACACACCAGAGGGAAGAACTAAGAGCCATGGAGTTGAGTTACTAAGAGGCAAAATTAGTCTTGATGCCAGGAGAATAAGTGAATTTAATGATTAGAGCTGGACCTGAGATCAAATCCCACCTCAGACACTTACTAGCTGCTTGACCCTGGGCAAGTCACATAAGCCTGTTTGTCTCAGTTTCTTCATCTGTAAAATGAGCTACAGAAGGAAATGGCAAACCTCTCCAGTATCTTTGCCAAGAAAACCCCAAAGAGGGTCAGGAAGACTAGGATACAGAACAATAGTAACACCTAGGATACATAGAGTATATAATCTGAATCCCCTTGCAGAGCACAGAAACTGAAAGGGGAAGGTATCACAGTGAGGGAGACTGGGAAAGACTTCCTGCTGAAGTGGGCTTTAAGCTGGGTCTTGAAAGAAGCCAGAGGAATTAAGCAGCAGATGTGAGGGGTCAGAGCTTTCCAGGCGCGGGGGAATGTCAGTGTGAAATTGTGGAGACTGACAATGGAGTGTTATGTTTGAGGAAATGACAACATATCGAAGTAATGAGAAGAACATGGGACCCAGAGGGTGGCGATCTAGGTGCTGCTGGTTCCTCGCTCACTTACAAGCCATGTGGCTTTGGTCAAGTCACTTAACCCCTAAGAGTCTGACTTGCTCATCCTAAAAGTGAAGGTAATCATACTTTACCTTGCCGAAGACAGGAGTTGGACCAAGTTCTCCCAGGGCAGTGATTCTCTGCATCATACAAGAATTCACACAAAGAGATAATGATGAGGAATTGTTTTAGCCAAGCTATGCTGAGCAGGAATGTCTGCAGAGCTCCTGGGTTGATATGCAAAGAAGCCACCCCGTTTAGAAATAAACATATGCTTCATTTAAGGAAGGAACCAAGTGCTGGTACATTTCATTCCTGACCAAGTTGATGTAAAATTAATTGCATTGCATGTTCCCTGCATCTTTTAATTGCAAAACCAATTAACGTTAAAATGTTCCGCTTTGTAGTCCCCCTAATGGAAGGCAGCGTTTCCGTTGGCTTGACAGAATCTGCCTTTTGTGGAGGCTGGGCAGGACGCCATACTTGGTTATCTGCTGGAGAAGACCTCACTGCCTCATCAGCTCCTGGAGCTACATGAGTTTGCAGGGCTGGAGCTTGGGAGGTGAGAAGGGCCCTGAAGGACCAGCCTAGACCCTTAAAAAAGGATGGGTTGGCACCTAGGGAGGTATTGATATAGGAGAGGTGAAGGTCAAGGGCAGATGCCCAATTAAAAGACAAGAGGCTTCCTGGTTGAAGGCCCAAGTTGACCAAGAATGGAGATGAAGAGTTGAGTTAGACTATGGGCTGATAAGACAACAAACCTCAGTGCAGTCAATGAGAAACTTCCCATTGAGAGATGACCCAAGCAGGAGGCCCACGCCACTAGATAAGGGATACTTTGATAGGTTTTCAGATGATCAAATCCCTAGCTCTCCACTTCTACCTGATGTCACTGAGTTCATCTTCATAAAGGAACCGTAAAATCAGAGGAAGCTGCATGTGTGATGTATCTTTATACCACTACTTGAGAACTATATCCTTTCTATCTCAGGAAATCAACCACATAACTTGCATACCTAGACTCCAAGGGCTTCAGTGCCCCAGATCTAATCCTTGCCTAAAACACTAAGCAACCTTCTATCCTTGGGAACTCGTCAATGGTTCTAAGAACCCCCAAACCTTGAAAGTTCTGGATTTCCTGGGGTATTATACACACAGACTCATGTAGGGGAGCCAAAGGCATGCTGTAAATGGATGCAACATAGGGTGGAGGAAGGAACCCTGGTCTGAGAAACAAAAGACCAGAGTTCTAGTCCCAATTCTGTTACTAATATGGCATATTAGGTGTCCATGGGCAAGTTCCTTTCCTCTTCTATGTCTCAATTTCCTTTTTTGTGAAATAAGGGGATTGGATGAGATTATCATAGGGTCCTTTCTAGGCCTGCCATTTGAGAATCCTCTTTTTCATTCTAGACCAAAGACCCCACGTAGGCTGGACCAGGTGGAGAAGAGACTGGAAGTTAGGAGGCCAGTTCCAAAGCTGTTGCTATGATCTAGGTGAGAGAAGATGAGTATATATAGGCAGGTCCAGTCAGAGATGATCAACCTATGCCTTCCCATGGCCCAGTGGAAGGAAAATGAGGGAGGATTTGAGTGAATTGCTAATCCTTGAATTATTGAGGGTATATTTCCCTAGAGAAGAAAATTCGACCAGCCTGATAGAGCCAGATATTTCCTTCATGTGTTTGCCCAAGCTTCCCCCAATACCTGGAACACCTTCTCTTTTTACTTCTGCTTCTTAGAATCCCTAATTTCCTTGAAGGCTCATTTCCTGTGACACTTCCTATAGGAAATGTTTCCTTGTCCACCTAAGTCTCCCTCAAAGCGTCACATACACCCTTACTTGTATAGATGCCGTATGGAGAATATAAACTCCATGAGGGCAGGAACTGTTTTTCATTTTTGTTTAGCATCCCCAGCTTCATCTGCTGTCTCAGCTGGTAACAGACTTTCAAGCCTTAGTTTTCATGAGATACTCATGTTCAAAAATGCCATCATCAGAAGGTAACCATTCTGTTGATAATCTGCTCCCCACTTAGATAGTCTGGTCATGAAGCAACAGATACACAGTCCCTAAAGCCAAAGTTAGAGCTAAGAATTACTATATCTGTGGTAAATTCAGATGGGGCAGAGGAAGAGAAAAGGTGGAGGATGGAGCCTCTGAGAGTTTCTAGCTTGTTTCTCCATGGAGACTGGGAGAAAAACAACCAGAGGTCAGGAGAAACAGTCTTTGACCATAGGTAGAGTAGTCAGGGGAGGAGAGAAGACCTAACCCATATCTCTCCTCCTTTGATATCTGTTGACTCATGATCTTACTGTTGTCTTCTCCTAAGGACCATCTTCAATCCCACCTCTCATGGGGCATGGACACTCCAACTAAGCCACCATGGTTACAGCTCTTCTGCTTGAAGCCTTTTGAGCTTGGTAGGACCTCCTTGATCTTGCATTCTTCTGCATAGCCATCTTTGAGGACTCAAGGTCACCTCCACACTTAGCGTCAGATGAGCGATCTATTAGAAGAGAAAAGAGATTTTGCACCACATTTAGGGGATATTGGAAGGATGCTTCTGGGGCTAAGGCTAGGCACTGAACATATTCCCTGAAGACAGCATTAGTTTCAAGTGAAACAGGCTGGGTCTGGAGAGGAAGTGGATGCAATTGCGTATGAGGATGCAAAAAAATCCCACCCTTCTCTGGGTATTCTCTATGTAATATACTCTATATATGTAACTGTCATGGATGTTGGGGCATAGCTGACATTTAGTAAGAGTTGAGGTGTTAGCAGCGAGTGCAGGTTGCTCAGCAGTCCTTATGAAAGACTAATTACTTGCTGAAAGTGTCGACAAGAGGATTCTAAATCCATAGACAAAGCTGAAAAGGACCTTGGAGACAATCTAGTCTCACCACCTCATTTTACAAAGTAAGAAATCAGAGGCTTAAAGACCTTAAGTGATATAGCTAATAAGTATCCAAGGTTGGATTTGAACCCATGTCTTCTTGATGTCAGGTTTAGAACTCTGTCCGCTAGACCACACTGTCCTCCATATCATCAGCCCCAGTAAGTTTAATTAGCCAGTCTTTGCTTGAGGATTTCTAGTAAGGTGAAACTCACTACCTCCCAGTGCAGTTCCATTTCACTCTGGAGCACCACTAATTGTTAGGAAACTTTTTATGTTTTGTTTTGTCTGTTTGTTGTTTTTTTTTTTCCTTTACATGGAGTCCAAATCTGCCTCCCTCTGACTTCCACCCATTCATTGCTGTTGGTCCTACTCTTTAGGGCTGAGTCTTGGTATGTTCCACATAAGCGTATGAAGTCAACTGCCATGCCTCACCTCAGGCTTCCCTTTCCAGGCTAAATATTCCTAGTTCCCCATGTAATATGCCCTTATAGACCATTCCCATCCTGATCACCCTATTCTGGATGCTCTCCAGATTACTGACAAGCTTCCCAAAATATGGCAGCCAGAATGGAATGTAGCACTACAGATAGATATGTTCTAAGTAGGGCAGAGTGCAGAGGGACAATCACCACTCTCTTTTAGGATATATTGCCTCTCTTAAGGCAGCCTAAGATTCCATTAGCTCTTTGGCTGCCACAATATAATATTGACCCTTGGAGTTTAGGGTCCATTAAACCCATAGATAATTGTCTGACAAAGTGCAGCCTAGTCTTACTCCCCCACCTTCTTTTTCTCAGATTGATTTTTTGAACCCAAGTGTAGGATCTTGCCATTGATCCCTATTAAATTCTATCTTATTAAGACTAATCAACAGTCTAGTCTGTCAAGGTCTTTATGGATCCTAATTTTATTTTCCAATGGATTGACCATCTATACCTTCTATCTGTATCATCTTCAGAGTTTATAACCATGTTATCTATTCCTTTATCTAAGTCATTAAGAAAAATATCACAGAGCCAAGGATGGATCCTCAGGGCATTTCAATAAAGACCTCCTTCCAAGCTGGTATTGAGTCATTAATGACTATGTTTTAGGGTCTAGGCATTCAACCAGTTCTAATCCACCTTACTGTCCTATTAGCCAGCCTACATCTCTCTATCTGTTCCATATGAATAGCATGAAAGCCTTTGTCAAATGCTTTGTTAAAAGCCCAGTAAATAAGCTCTCTGGAGCCTCCTTGATCTGCCAGTCTAGCAAGCACGTTAAAAGAGGAAAGTCAGGATGGTTTGATATGACCTATTCTGGATGATGCCACAATGGTTCCTTGTAATCATTTCTGCCTTTTCTGGATGTTTGTTTATCAACCCTTTAGTAATACACTTGAGAATTCAACCGGGAGCTGAAGTCATGTTCGCTGGCTTCTGATTTGCAGACATCATTAAAAAAAAAAAGCTGCAACAACCTATGAGCTTCTCCAGTCATGAGATCTCTCTCAATTTCTCCATGACTTGTCAAAGATCACTGATGATGGCTTGGCAATCACATCTGGGGCTAGTGACTAGAAGTCATCTAAGATTACCTTGGCGTTCTCTTTTTACCTCCTTACGTGTCTTGGGTAACCTCTTCCCTCCTTTCTTCACTAGGCATCCCATTCCACTTGTGGGAACCTCTCCTTATAACAAAATGGTTGTAAATTATTGATTTCCTCATAAAAAAAAGCTTCCTGACATTGAACCAGGGTCTATCTCTCCAACTTCCACCCATTGCTCCTAGGTCTTTCCTCTGGGGCCAAGCAGAAGGAATCGCCATGTGATAGCCCTTCCAAAATGTTAAAACTGCTATCAATGTGCTCCTTTTCTTATGAACCTAAAAGACTGTCAGAGTACTGGAGCCAGTCACCTCATCATCCTTGGCACATTCCTCCAGACAGATTATTACTTGTCAGTATCCTTCCAAAGTACCAGGACTGAACCCTATATACTCTAAATGTGGTCTGAGCACAGTGAAGGAGAGCAGAACTATCACTGCCTCCCTCAGACTGGACATGATGCTTCTTGGCAACTGGGTGGCATAATGGTTAAAGCATTGGACTTGGATTCAGGAAGTTCTGAGTTTGAACTTTGCCTCAGATACTACTGTCTGTGTGACCCCGGACAAGTTGCTTTAACCTCTCTGTGGCTCAGTTTCCTCATCTGCAAAGTAGGAATAGTAGGAATAGTAATAGCACCTATCTCTCAGGGTTAGGGTTGTTGTGAGGATTGAATGAGATTGTTTATGTGTGTGTGTGTGTGTGTGTGTGTGTGTGTGTGTGTGTGTGTGTATATATGTATGTATATGTATATGTATGTATATATAGAGAGAGACATATATACAGCACTTTGTCAGTTTAGAGCTCTAAATAAACACTGCTATTACTATTATTATTAGTTATTATTATCTTAATGTAGCTTTGGATAAACACACAAGCAGACAAGCATAGCCTTTGAGTAACTCTAGGAGGAGCCCAGAAATGGAAGTCTAGGCAGAGAAGTTTTAGGACATTTAACAGGAACAGGACATCCATTTGTTTTGGGGAAGGTGTTCAATCATATCTGAAGGGGAAGCAAGGCAGGAATGGATTTCATGAACAGCCTTTCTCTTCCCTGGGCTTACATTTTCTTCCATATGAAATGAGGGAAATTGGCCGAGGTGCTTTTGATGTTTTTTTCAGCTTTGAACATTCTGTGATACATGACTCAGGAGCAGGGGATAAGAGAGGGACACAGTCTTTAGAATTTAGCCACAAGACTTTGCCCCTGAACAAGACAAGTGTGGCATAGAGCAATGAGGAAGTGCTAGATTTGGAAGCTAGGGTGCTAGGTTCCCATCCCACCTCTGGGATTTCTGTCTGTGTGACCTTGGGACATATATTTGACCTCTTGGTATTTCAGTTTCCTCATTTTCAAACTGATGAGGTTTTGGGGTTAGGCAATCTCTAATAGTTCCTTCCAGCTTAAACTATTCTGATCTCTGACCTTGTTACTTGAACCTACATCTGGAATCAGGATAGGACCGGAGACAAGGCAATCTGAATGCTGAGTCAACACGCTGTGGATCCATGTTGTTGTTATTGTTCAGTCATTTTTTTCAGTTGTGCCTGACTCTTCATGACCCCATTTGGGATTTTCTTGGCAAAGATACTGTTGTGGTTTTCTATTTCCTTCTCCAGCTCATTTTATAGATGAGGAAACTGAGGCAAACAAAGTTAAATGACCAAGGTCATCCAGCTAGTAAGTATCTGAGACCAGATTTGAACTCAGGAAGATGAGTCTTCCTGACTCCAGACCTGGCACTCTATGCACTATGGTACCACCTAGCTGTCCTAGCTGGCTCATGGATCCATGAGCCCTTCTATATTTCCCCTTTTGGCTGATAGACTAATTTCTATGACTAAAACATTGGATAGGGTTTAAGAGACTCTAACTTTGGAGACTATATTGTTGTGGGGGCAAGAAATTAGGTTGTTCATTACAGGAGTTTGGGAATGGATTGAGGGCTGCATATGAACAAAACCTTCACCAGGACAAAAAAAAGACATTGGGAACTGTTCAAGGACAACACTATGGGCTACAATGCGGGGAGAGGAGAGAAGTAGGGAGAGAGGTACAGAAGCCCCCTCACTCAAGGTATATCTTGTGTGCAAATTGAATATGCTTTCAACAGAGCATGAGCAACGATGGGTTCTTTCATTTCAATGCATTGTATTTTTCCTAAGAATCTACAAGAATAGTAATTGCCCCCATTTACTCAGAACTTTATAGTTGAAAGCATATTCACATGTATTTCCAGACCTCTCCAAATACCTGTAAAAAATGGCTCTAAAGAAATTCTAGAGCAGTAGAACCCACAAAAAGAAAGAGTGAAACAAATTTGCATCCCAAGACAACCTGGATGGTTGATTGGAAAGGTCTATTGCGCCAAGCTGGGAGAGGAGTGCAGTTCAACATGGGCTACACAGGCAAAAATCAGGCCTCAGTGAACCTGGAGCAGTCCTCAGGGGATTAAATCAAGGGGAGCTGTGGCAGTTTCCAGACTTCTCAACCCATGAATGCCAAACACAACTTAGAAGGTCAGTAGGAAAGGTCTGACTGACCACAGTGAGAGAGGAGCTTGGTCCGGCCCCAGTCTTGGTACAACCCAGGGTGGTGGCTACTTCTAGAGCTCCAAGCCCACAGAAGGAGGGGAAATCTAGTGGCTGATCAGAGGGGGATTGCAGGAATCTCTTTGCTGATGCTAAGGCAGGAATCTCTTGCTTTGCACATGCTTGGATCTGGGTCTCAGGCCTGGGTGGTGGTCTTGGGGAGAGGAGGAGTGCTAGCATGGTCGAGCTTGCAGTGGCAGTTCAGAGAGAATCCTCCTCACAGTTCCAAAGCAAAAAAGAGTGCTTGTGGTCACTCATAGACCACAGCACAGGCCAGGAAAGGCGTAAACCCCTCGCCCCCTTACCATACCACCTTGGAAGAACTGAAAATATACAGGTCCCTAGAAATATCTCTGAAAACAACTGTACAAAACCCCTGAAGCTTGAGACAGTACATTCTCCACACTAGAAGCAGATCCCTACATTAACAAAGAGTTTAAAAGTCAAGTAATTGGCTGGGATCATGAGTAAACTTCGCAAAAAGGGCCATACCATAGAATCTTTCATTGGTGAAAAGATAAAAACATACAACCAGAAGAAGACAACAAAGTCAAAGCTCCCATATCCAAAGCCTCCAAGAAAAATATGAATTGGTCCCAGGCCATGGAAGAGCTCAAAAAGGATTTTGAAGGGAAATATAGTTAGTTTTTCACAACATGACTACTATAGAAGTGTTTTGCATGACTACACATGTATAACCTGTATCTAGCTGCTTGTCTTCTCAATGAGGGTGGGTGGGGAGGGAGAAAGGGAGAAAATTTGGAACCCAGAGTATTAAAACCAAATGTTAAAAATTGTTTTCACATATAACTAGGAAATAAGATATCCAGGCAATGGGGTATAGAAATCTATCCTGCCCTGCAGGAAAATAGAAAAATAGAAGGGGAAGGGGATAAGAGAAGGGGGGTGATAGAAGGGAGGGCAGATTAGAGGAAGGGGTATTCAGAATGCAAACCCTTTTGGAGTTGGGGGAGAGACAAGATGGGGAGAAAATTTGGAACTCAAAATCTTATGGAGGTGAATGTTGAAAACTAAAAATAAATAAATTAATAAATGTTTAATATAAAAAATAAATTGAAGATCACTCAAAAAAATAAATAATTAAAGATTATCTAAATCACTAATGATGAGAGAAAAGCCAGTTAAAACAACTCTGAGTGATCAGCACATAGTTATCAAATTGGCTAATATGACAGAAAAGGAAATGACAAATGTTGAAAGGAATGTAGGAAAATTTACTGTTGGTAAAGTTGTATACTGATTCAACCATTCTGGAAAGCATTTAGAATTATGGCCAAAGGACTATAAAACTGCACATACCCTTTGACCAAACAATACCACCATTAAGTCTGTGGTGTCAAGAGATTTTTTTTAAATGAAAAATGCCTATGTGTACAAAAATGTTTATAGCAGCTCTTTAATTGTGGTAAAGAATTGGAAATTGATGGGATGTCCATCAACTGGGGAATGGTCGAATAAGTTGCTGCCCATGATTGTGATGGAATATGGTTGTGCTTTAAGAAACGATAAGCAGGATGCTCTCAGAAAAACCTGGAAAGACTTAAATGAACTAATGTAAAATGAAATGAGCAGAAACAGGAGAACATTGTATGTAATGACAGGAACATTGCATGATTATCTACTGTGAAGAACTCAGCTGTTCTCAGCAATATAATGATGCAAGACAATTCTGAAGGAATTATGATGAAAGCTGCTGTCCATTTCCAGAGAAAGAACTGGTAGGGCCTGAATGCAGATCAAAGGTACTTTTCCTTTACTTTATTTATTTTTCTTGTTTTTTTGTCTGTGTTTTTTTTTCACAGAATGACCAATATGGAAATGTGTTTTGCTTGATTAAATATGTATAATCTAAAAAAAAAAGAATATGAAGACAAATAAGGTCCAATAAGATTCAATAGAAATTGTATAAGACATTAATAAAATGGTGATCATATATGGGATCTCATTTGAGCTTCATCTGAGAGGTAGGTGGTATTATTATTAGCATTTTACAGATGAGGAAATTGAGGCAGGTGGTAGTTAAATGGCTTGTCCAGGGTGATACAGCTAATGCCTCTAAGTCTGAATTTGAACTCAGGTCTTCCTGTCTCCAGGCCCTGCATCATCCAATGGGCTACCTACTTACCTATTATGCCTGGAAGAGCCCTTAGAACATAGAATCTCAGAATTAGAAGGGACCTTAGTACATAGGATATTAGAACTATAATAGGCTTTGCAGTATTGGATCTGGAAAGAATAGAATATCTATGGCCCAAATCTCTATGTTTTCTTAAAGACAGATGTGCTTCCTTTAATAGGGTAGCAATGAGACACACATGGTCCTGCCCCAAGAATTTATCCTCCTAAGGTTTCTAGATGACCAATATGTATTGGTGGCAATACCAATCAGTGAAACTGATCCTTTAGGACGTGTCAAGGGGTGGCCATTCACCTTGGGAAGGACCCCAAGTTATTGAGACTTAATCTGATATCTTTATCCTTACAACAAAGTTCCAATAAGAGTATCTACACACTCCATGAAGAGATGCTTCCAAAAGTCACAAAGGCTTATCAGTGTTCAGAAGATTCCCTTGATCAATCCCCTACATGTAAAACTTAGAACAGAGAATATCAAAACTGAAGGACCCAGCCTAGTACAGAGAATATAAGAGCTGGAAAGGACTTTAGAATATAAAATGTCAGAGCTAAGCAAAGGCTTAGAACACAGAATGCCAGATCTGGGATAGCCCTTAGAACCCAGAATGTCAGAGATGGGAGGGCCCTTAGAACACAGAGTGTCAGAGGTATAAAGGATTTAGAAGCTATCTAGTACAACACCTTCCCTTCATAAATGAGAAAACTGAGACATAAAAGAGGGAAATGATTTACTCATGTTCCTTGAATTAATAAAAAAAAAAAGAGAGAGAGAGAGAGAAGGTATTGAAGGTATTGAGAACCCATGTCTCTTAATTCTCAATGCAATTTTCTCTTCGCTCCACTCCAGTGTGATATAATGAGCAGAACACCAGGCTTGGAGTCAGAAAGACCACTTCATGTGCTACCTTTAGTCACCATACAGCCCTGAGTGAGTCACCCAATCTCTATGAGCCTCAGAAACCCCCCACGATCTACTGAGGCCTTGGCGGAAAGCTTTCCCAAACCAAGTTTTCCCATACACACATTGACAAGCAAGGCTTTGTCAGTTTGGATTGCCAGCACCTAGCACACTGCCGATATGCAAGCACTTAACAAATGTTTGTGTGGGTGCAGGAGGAAGGAAGGAAATTAGTCTATAAGCATTTATTAAGCACTTACTATGTGCCAAACAGTGTGCTAAGCTTCATAGATACAGATACAAAAAAGAAACACAGTCCCCGCCCTCAAGGAGATTATAATCTACTAAGGAAAGCTGGCACACAAGAGGAAGATGAAAACATGGTGCACTGGTGGGAAATGAAACGGAAGCATTAGGAGGAACTCTTTGTTCTGCTCTCAAGTCCTCTAGTCAGAGGGGCAGAGGGGACAGAGGATACTGATGAAGAGGTTGGAGTACCAAGGCTGATCCAGTCTTGCAGGACAATGAGTTTCCTAATGATGAGGTTCCTAGGGGCATGATGGAGTTTCATCCAAAGGAGTGCAGCTGAGTGTAAAGGAATGCAGGAAGATAGGAAGATGAGAGGAAGGAAGGAAGGAAGGAAGGAAGGAAGGAAGGAAGGAAGGAAGGAAGGAAGGAAGGAAGGAAGGAAGGGAGGAAGGCAGGGAGGGAGGAAGAAAGGAAGAAAGGAAGAAAGGAAGAAAGGAAGGGAGGGAGGGAGGGAAATCTGGAGTGGCCCTTGAATGCCGGGTAAGAGTCGCATGGATGATAAGAATGCAAAAGAAACACCATGAAGAAAGATCCAAAAAGTAGAAATTAGTGTGTTGTATGAGGAAGGGCAAGGAGACAACGCGGTGACCAGCCTCCCCGAGGGGGTCTGGTTTGGGGAAGAGGAGCTTGTCTCTGGCTTGCTGCATTCTGATATAGGCAACAAATGTGGGAAATAGCCGCTGGCTGAGTCCCCGGCTCCACCCGTCCCAGGAGGATGTCGTGGGAGTCCCCAAGGAAAAACAGCGGAGGAGAGCTGAGCATCCTGTTCCCTTCCTCGCCTTTCTGGAAGCCTTCCACGGTGGCGAGTTGAGATGCAGCATTTCAGATCAGGACAGCTTTATCCATCAAAACAAGAGACAGATGATATATTAGCACACTCATGGGAGAAGAAGATAAAAATTCAGGCTGGGCTAATGTGATCTTTCTGCAGGTGCAAAGCTGGCTGAATATGCCGGAGATTGAGAGCCTGTCTTGCCATGGGGCTGCGAGTTTCCTAAGAGACCCAGGCAGACGGGGAGAAGGATGCTGTGGGAACAGGCGGGAGGGGGAGGGGGCCTGGAAACAAATGCATTAGCAAAACGAATTTATCAGTGAATCAAGATGGAAATCTAAGCCGCCCCATTTGAGAAGTCCTTGAGTAATCGTTTTCCCGGCCCCTGCGTCTCTTGTTTCCCTTATTCTGAAGGTGATAGATCCTTAGGCGGCTCAAATGAGCTTCTGTAGAGAGCTGGGAGGGAGCCCGGGTGCCGTCCATCTCCCCCAGGCCAGCGTGCCTGCTCCCAGCTCAGTCCGTCTGAGAGACATGCTGATTAACTTCGAGAACTGTATGGAAAAACAAAACCGAAAGCAAATTCATTCTTGTTCCCTGCAGGGCATAAGCGAAGGGGAGGGGAGTGGATGGTGACAATTGAATCACTGGCTCCTCCATCACCCAGGACCCAACAGCCAGTAGAATGGTGTCAATGCTACTCCAGAGGCAGGTGCCTGGAAGAAGTTATGTGGCACAGTGCTTAGAGCACTGGGAATAGGAGCAGGAGGACCTGAGTTCAAATCCGAGCTTCATAAGCTTTTCAGCCTTGGGTCTCTGGGCAAGTCACTTAACCTCCATCTGCCTCAGTTTCTTCATCTGTAAAATGAGGACAATAACACCTACCTCCCAGGCTTGGTGTGAGGATAAATGAGGTCATTTGTGTAAGCATTTTGCAAACCTTAAAGTATTATATAAATGTCATTTTATTATTGTGAGCTTACAGAGTAATTTTCCAGGTAGAGAATGATCCATCCTCCCTCCCATCTGCCCCAATCACTCCAGTCATAGGACCTACAAGTCATAAGAGGACATGAGCAATTGTTAACAGCTGTTCCAGGAACTGCCTGGGAAGCTATTTCAATGGAATCAATTCATCAAATACTTATCATCTCCTGTGTGCAGGGTTCAATATCAGGGGCCTTGGCAGAGGAAAGTAGGTATTGTCCCTGGCCCCCTCCCCCAACAAGGACTAGCCATCCATCTAGTAAGGGGAACTCAACTCGTATATAGATAATCAATCAGTCAATCAACTGGTGGTTCTTAAAATGATGTTGTCTATAATGTCAGGGACTGTGCTAGGCACTGAAACAAAAAATGTAATTGTCCCTGCCCACAAGGAGCTTACATTCTATAAAGGGAGACGGCATAGTTAAATATATTAGGTATATAACAAGCTGGCGAGTGTCCAAAGAAGACAGATCATTGGGATGAAGGGCTTTGAATTCATGCCCTAAGAGGATTCGTTGAAAGAATTGGTGATGTTTAAATTAGAGAAGAAAAGGTCTGACTTGAGGAAAGAATCTGGACATGATTTCAGAGAGCTCCAAGCTTTCAAAGGGCAGTCCCTGTGGAAGCTAAATTAGGCCTGTTCCGTTTGACCCAGCAAGCAGAACTGAGAGCAATGGGTCGGGTAAAACTTGTAGAGACTAATTTAGGCCTAGGGAATACAAACACACAAACAAAAACCTTATCCATTTTTCATTTGTTTTTCATCCGTGTCGGAATCTTTGAGGCCCCATTTGGGGTTTTCTTGGCAGAGATACCAGAGTTTATTTGCCATTTCCTTCTCCAGATGAGGAAACTGAGATAAACAGGGTTAAGTGACTTGCCCAGGATCACACAGCTAGTCAGTTTCTGAGGCCAGATTTATTAAGTGCCTGCTGTGTTCCAGACACTGTGTTACATGCTGGGCATACAAAGAAAGGCAAAAGACTATCCCTGTTTTCAAGGAGCTAATGGTCCAATGGGAAAGACAACTCTGTATAAACAAGATAAATACAGGGTAAATTTGGGATAACCAACAGAGGAAAGTGCTAGAATTACAAGGGACAGGGAAAATCTGGTGGGATTTTAGCTGAGACTTGAAGGAAGCTTAGAAAGCTAAGGGGTGGGGTGAGGTGAGAAGAGAGAGAATTCCAGGCTTGGGGAAAATCAATCAACCTACATTTATTAAGCATTCACTATGTGCTAGGAACCAGGGATACAAGTGCAAAGAATAAAGCAATCTCTACTCACAAAGAATTAACATTTTAATATGGGAGCAAGTATGCACATATATAAGTAAACACAGCACAGGTAAAAAGTGACTACAGACAAAGTAGTTCAATTCCAGGTAGTTTGGGAGGGAGGGCATTTGCATTTGGGGAGATCAGGAAAGACCTCATGAAAATCATGGAGCTCACTGGTGTTGTCCAGTCGTGTCCAATTCTCTATGACCCCAGTTTGGGTTCTCTTGGCAAAGATACTGGAGTGGTTCGACATTTCCTTCTCCAGCTCATTTTACAGATGAGGAAACTGAGGCAAACAGAGTTAAGTGACTTGCCCAGGGTCACACAGCTAGTAGGCGTCTGTGGCCAGAGTTGAACTCGGAAAGATTCCTAGCCCAGTGCTCAATCTAGCTACCCGCACAGAGCATAAGCTGCATTTTAAAGAAAGAGAAAGGGGCTGTGAGGTGAAATTGAGGAGGAAGAATATTCCAAATGTGTAGAATGGCCAGTGCAGAGGTACACAGACAGAGATGGTGTGTCCTGTGTGAGGAACAAA